AACAAGGTATTCTGGCAAGATCTAGTGCAAAAGTAGAATATATAGCTATGACCTCAACCACTTGTGAGCTTGTTTGACTTAAGCAATTGCTTAAAGAGTTACAATTTGGATATGTCACTCAAATGACACTTATATGTGACAATCATATTGCTATTAATATTAGTTCTAATATTGTATTTCATTAGATGATAAAACACGTTGAAATTGATTGTCATTTTATTCGAGAAAAAAATGCATCTAGTGATATTAAGACTGAGTTCATTAGCTCAAGTGATCAACTAATAGATATTTATACTAAGTTTGTAGGGGATCAACAACGGATTATATTTGTAACAAGTTTAGTAGATACAATTTATATAGACTAGCTTGAGGGAGTGTTAAATATCTTATATTTATTACTTATCTTTTGTTACTTTATTATTATTATTTAGTTTGTATTTTGGAGTTAACTCATATTTCTTTCATTATAAATAAAGTACCTTATATGTATTTTTTATACAAGGAAGATTAATATTATATATAATTTTTTATTATATTTAATAAAAATATAAAAGTTATATTTTTGGAAAATGTTATTTTATAATATAATAAAAATAGTTGTAAAATATATGATTAGGTTTTTCAATACATTATTATATTTAAAGATGATTTTCATACAAATATAAATATGTTTTTAAAAACATACAAGCATAAATATAAATCAATAATAAAATAAAAAGTATGAATGTCATATAGTTAATGAAATAAGGGGTGAGGATATTTATTTTAGAACTGGAAACAAATAAAAATATCCTTTTAGAACGGGTAGATATAATATTTTTATAGTTAAATTATTTAATTTTTATTTATGAAATTCTTAATTTTAAATGTAAATGTAATTTTCAAAACTGAGAATTGAAAATAGAGATGTTGCTAGTGTTATTGACTATATATTGTTTGAAGTCCCATGTCAATTAGAGATAGAGTCAAATTATTATAATATATAAGTGTGATGCAAACCTGACCTTACAAACAAGCCAGTTTTGTGAGGTTGAGTTAGGCTTAAATTCACTTCTTAATATGATATCAGAGTCATGGTTGGAGTCTTTCCTAGCGAGATCTATGTGGGCATTCTGTTACACTTGTTGTCAGCCCATTATCGGACCATCCATTAATTCTACTCTCATCTTACAAACCGATTTTGTGGGATTATGTTAGGCTTAAAGTCCACTTCTTAACATATATAAACCCAATAATTATTCACATATATGAAGAATTGAAATAAAAAAGTAGTTTTATTTTTTAAAATCTAAAATAAAATATTATATAAATTATGTTTCAAAGTACATTAATTGTCTTGTATAATAGGTTACTAAGTGACAATTGAATCGTAAAATCTGGGCTACTATATTATTAAGTAAAATATTTAAACTATTTGCTATGACTTTTATTTTAGTGGGATCGTATTCGATTCAGTAATTGATACTAGAACCAAGGTGACTCCATAAAGTGTGTTGAATCACAATTGAAGAGTTCAATTCCTAATGACAAATATTCAATCCAACAAACTAGAGTATATGTTCCTTATTAAATTATATGTACTTTTAAAGGAAAAAAAAATTCTCGACCATGTAAAACATGAGTTTATTTAAAGATAAATTTTAAATGGATAAAAAACAGAATGTTTATAAATAGAGGATGAAAGCTTATTTTTCATTTAATCGGTTATTTTATTTTTCTAAAACTCTTTTCTCTAAACTCTTTGTAAGTTAAAGAAGAATTTGACTATTATTGTTTTGTTGGTTACATTTAAGGAGACCATTAGATAAGGAGTAAAATAGACCGACCAAAGTTAAGTTTTGTTAAATGGTTCAATCCATACTAATGAATTTACTCTATTTCTTCTCCTCTTTGAATGTTTGGTAAATGAGAGATTATTTTGGTTTAGGAATTGATTGTTGGGGCTTTATTGAATTTTGGAAAGTATCAAGAAAAGTTTAAGCTTGTAGGCCATTACATTCAAATGGGAGAAGTTAATGATTATATAGATTAAAATATGAGATGGTGAGAAGCTAAAAAAAATTTACATGTGTACATCAAGCTTGGTAACATATGCTTATACTAACTTGACACATGAAATCAAAATCAATGTTCAGATGACATTTTTTATGTGACAATTGCTTTGTATATTAGAAATGTGACTAAAATTTAATATCTTATAACACAATAATTCAATTGACATTATTTATCAAGAATATTGTTAAGGAATACTTTAAAATCTTGTTGACAATACAACCATGTAATTTATGATGTACAATGTTAATATTTAAGATGAAATGTGATACATACATACATGTGTTTCATATCATGTACTCAATGTTTAAAATTAAATTATAGTACATCCTTACAATTTGGAGTGACTTGTTATAATCATACATGTTATGTTGTTACAAGAGTTAGCAATAGACTTACCTAAAAAAATGGAACAATATTTTAATCCTTTATATTTTATTTATATTCGAGGTAACATTAATTATTTTAAAAAGTTAGATGAATCACTATTGATACTTGTGTTACTATAATTTTGTTTTGTTTAATAATAAATGTTGGATCTAAGAATTGATACCATAACCAAAATTTTGTTGGAGAACCTATATCTTTTATCATAGAACATACTTGCTTTGATTAAAAAAGTATTATAATACTCAAACTTTGGTTTACAAATTCTAAGAGGTAAATCCCTACTTGTAGTTTGACTAATCTCGTTGATGAATAGAATTATAAGCATAATGAAATAATGTTTTCATTGACAAAAAGATATATGTAAAAGAGTTTGAGAATAAAAATGAAATTGTTATAATTAATATTTGTGTGATGGTGTTTTTGAGAATCTGAATGGGAGAGACACAACCACTCTAAGATGTAAATGATGCATTGATAATTTGAAGTTGAAGAAGTGAAGTCAACATCATGTGTTAATGAGAAGGGTGGAATGAACAGTGAATGTTGGAAAATTGCCTCTGAAATCAAAGCATGAAAGGGTAACAACTGAAAAGACACTTCTAAACTCATCATGGGTAACTAACACATACTCACCGGTTCTCTGGCTTTTTTACCATCTAACCATTAAATGAAAAAGTAATCATAAGATAAATCAAATACATTTCCATTTATTTTATGTATATTATAATAATATAATAATTATAAAAAGTAATTTTTTACTTTATAAAAATAAAAAAAATAGTATCAAATGAATACAAACCATTTATATGTGTTAAACTATTATGTTAAGTGAAAAAATATTACTTTTTACACTCCATCAAATTTCTTCCTTCACTCTATTACAATTACCTAAATAAAATCCTCTGTTTTAAGTATATACCCACTCTTGATTTTTTAATATTTTTTAAAATATACTGATTTTAATAAATTAATATTTTTTAATATGTTTTAATATATTAGATTTAGTATATATTAATGTATTTTAAAGACAGAGCAAATAAATAACATTCAAAACTCAGTAGAAAACCCTAATTCGTATCATATATTGAAAATCATTATATTTCTAGTATACTCTTACTCTTCTACCTCACTAGCTAGAGAAGATAGTTTTCATCTCTAATTATCTTATATAAAAAAAATATCTATACCCTAAAAAGTAGAGTCATATGGCCACTATTGCCTATAATAATTATTCTGATCTTGTTGACTGTGTTGAGAGGTTATGGTTCTTTGTTTGAGAATCAAACATTGATGATTAGGTTAAAAGGTGAAGAGGTGAGAGCAATGCATGTCCAAATCTACCTTAAAAATGTCACCTAGAAAAGTGGATTCCCTTATGAATGCCACTGCCAGTTATCAACAACACTCATATGCTTGCAATTATTGGAAACAAAAGGGCACAAAGGAAATTTTTAAAATAATTTCAATCACAAACTATCAGCATATATATATATTTAGGTCTCATAAAAAAAATGGAACCAGGTTGAAGATAATGTTTGTCCTAAGTTGAAAACTATTCTCATAGTGTAATAATTGGAGTGGAAGTAATAAAATTGAACTGTCACTATCCAAACTTCGGATTTTTTTTTCATTTAATTTTTTTGTACATTTTTGTGGTACAAATTGTGTTATGATTTGAAGATATTTGTCTTTTTTTAATAAATCTAGTTCTAAGCAAAAATAAATTTACGATGAGTGGTCATATCAAGACCAAGACTTCAAAGAAAAGAAAATTAATTATTAGGTGATCTTAAAATAATGCCATCTAGATTAATTACAATATGGTCCACAATTACATATATTGTAATTCTTCTTATGTTACATACCCTTTCGTTTCCATTCTAAATGTCATATTAATTTTACAAAAAATTAACTATTTTTTAGTTATACATCTTATTTTAATTATATAGGAGAAAGGACAATCAGTAATGATAAAAAAATATATAATGACATGCAAATATAAATTGAAATAAAAAGACTGAAAAGAAGTATGTTAATCACTTAAAATTATACTAAAAATAGAAAATTAAATAACTTTCTTAGTTAGGGTGAAAAATATCCTTCAACTCCTAAAACAAAGGAATAAAAGGAATATATGGGATGTTGTTTAAGAAAAACACATTATCTACAATATATTATTATCTTCATTTTCTAAATAGGTAACTCATTGAGATTATATTATAAATAAAGTATTAAACAGTTTCTTTAGTTTTTGATGAAAAAAAAGTTGATATTATAAAGAAATAGAGTAAATAATTAAACTCAAATAATATATGGTTTCATCATGTAGCAGTAGCATTTTTTTATGTTGACGAAGATGCTTGAAAAGCAATTGTAATAATCTGGAAAATGCAAGGGGAATCTGCTTTGAATGAAGGTTTGGAAAGAAGGAGGAAATGGCAGAAAGTAGAGCAACAAGTCTTTCAAATTAAAGAAGAAGCTCGTTTATCAACACAATATATAAATGATGCAGGCCAAGTTAGTGACTAAGTTGAGGAAAACAATGCAATAACACATGGGTTATTAACTAGTTTAGTGCCAAACAAGTCATGCACAATTCAATGCCAGAGAAAATATTAGGCAAAAGAACAGAACCCCGAGGCGGAGGGGATGGTGCTTGTTCACTTCAAAATCGTATAAAATAATACCGTCTCTTTTTCTTGCTTTACTACAAAGCAAGAATAATAGTAATCCTAGAAACTATGGTGGCACAAGAGTTAGTGAGTCTTAAAAAAGAGAGAGAGAGACCCAATGCAAAACTAAGAGTTGTTGATAGCTTGATATGATATGCTTGTGGTTGAGTTTTTGAGGGAATTGCCAATGTCAATGCCGAGGCAAGCCTTGAGCAACCAAAACCACAACCAAATGTCGAGGCAAGCTTTCATCACAAACCATCACCATCACCTTCTTCGCCATCTTCTTCTCTTTGCACTTCTTCTTCCTCTTTCATTTGCTTCAAATCATGAAGTTACTGCATTGGTTTCCTGGATGCATAGCTCTTCCAAAACTCCTTCGGCCTTTTCTACTTGGAACCCTTTGGACTCCAATCCTTGCAGTTGGTCTTTCATCAAATGCTCTTCAGCAAACCTTGTCACCGAGATAACCATTCAAAATGTTGAGCTGGCCCTTCCCTTCCCTTCGAAAATCTCATCCTTTTCTTTCCTTCAAATATTAGTCATTTCTGGGGCTAACCTCACAGGGACTATCTCACCTGACATTGGAAACTGTTCTGAGCTTAGAGTCCTTGACCTTAGCTCCAATGGTCTTGTGGGTGGCATTCCTTCTAGTGTTGGGAGGCTCAAAAACCTCCAAAACTTGAGCTTGAACTCCAACCATCTCACAGGGTCAATCCCAAGTGAGCTTGGTGATTGTGTCAATCTCAGGACCCTTGATATTTTTGATAACAGTCTTAGTGGGGATCTTCCTGTGGAGCTAGGGAAGTTGTCAAATCTGGAGGTTATAAGAGCTGGAGGGAACAGTGGCATTGTGGGGAAGATTCCAGATGAGCTAGGAGATTGCAGAAATTTGACAGTGTTGGGTCTTGCCGAGACAAAAATTTCTGGTTCATTGCCTGCTTCAATAGGCAAGCTAAGTATGCTTCAGACCTTGTCTATTTATAGTACTATGCTCTCTGGTGAGATTCCTCCTGAAATAGGGAACTGTTCAGAGCTTGTCAACTTATTTTTTTATGAGAATGACCTCTCTGGTTCCCTACCAAGAGAGATTGGTATGCTTCAGAAGCTGGAAAAGATACTGCTGTGGCAAAACAATTTTGTTGGGGACATTCCTGAGGAAATTGGTAACTGCAGAAACTTGAAGATTCTTGATGTCTCTTTGAATTCTCTCTCAGGTGGAATACCCCAAAGTCTGGGGAAACTCTCAAATCTTGAAGAACTTATGTTGAGTAACAATAACATCTCTGGTTCAATACCACCAGCTCTGTCCAATCTCACAAACCTCATACAGTTGCAGCTGGATACAAATCAGCTGTCAGGTTCAATTCCACCTGGGATTGGAAGCTTGACAAAGCTAACAGTCTTTTTTGCTTGGCAGAACAAACTTGGAAGTGGCATTCCATCATCGTTGGGAGGCTGTAGAAGCCTTGAGGCTTTGGATTTGTCATACAATGCACTCACTGATAGCTTACCCCCAGGCCTGTTTAAACTTCAAAATTTAACAAAGCTTCTGCTAATATCTAATGATATTTCTGGCCCTATTCCTCCTGAGATTGGGAACTGCACTTCACTCATTCGCCTCCGGCTTGTAGGCAACAGAATCAGTGGGGAGATACCAAGAGAAATCGGCTCTCTTAAGAGCCTTTATTTCCTTGATCTGTCTGAAAATCAGCTGACTGGGTCAGTACCATTTGAGATTGGAAACTGTAAAGAACTGCAAATGCTGAATCTAAGCAACAACTCCCTTTCTGGAGCTTTGCCTAGTTATTTGTCTTCTCTCAAAAGGCTAGAGGTCTTGGATGTTTCTATGAATAACTTCTCCGGTGAGGTTCCAATGAGTATTGGCCAACTCACTTCACTTCTTAGACTCATCCTAAGTAGAAACTCTTTCTCTGGGCCAATTCCCTCCTCAATTGGGCAATGTTCAGGTCTTCAGCTGCTAGACCTTAGCAGCAACAACTTTTCAGGGAGCATTCCACCAGAACTGCTTCAAATTGAAGCACTTGATATTTCTCTAAATCTGAGTCACAATGCATTATCTGGAGTGATCCCACCAGAGATTTCTTCTCTGAAAAAGCTGTCAGTTCTAGACCTTTCACACAACAATCTTGAAGGTGACTTGACGGCCTTTTCAGGGCTCGAAAATCTTGTTTCTCTAAACATTTCCTACAACAAAATCACTGGTTATCTTCCAGACACCAAGTTATTCCATCAACTATCAGCAACAGATTTGGCTGGAAACCAAGGTTTGTGTCCTAATGGTCACGATTCTTGTTTTGTTAGCAGTGAGGCTATGACAAAAATGCTGAATGGTACTAATTCTAAAAGGTCAGAGATAATCAAACTGGCTATTGGGCTGCTCAGTGCCTTGATTGTTGCAATGACAGTCTTTGGAGTTGTTACTGTCTTTCGAGCAAGGAAAATCATTCAAGCAGACAATGATTCTGAGATGGGAGGAGATTCATGGCCTTGGCAGTTCACCCCATTCCAAAAGGTAAACTTCTCTGTGGAGCAAGTCTTAAAGTGTTTGGTGGAATCCAATGTAATTGGAAAGGGGTGCTCAGGGATTGTTTATCGTGCCGAAATGGAAAATGGGGATATCATTGCCGTGAAAAGACTATGGCCAACAGCAATAGCTGCAAAATGTGATGATCAAAGCGACAAGTTAGCAGTTAATGGTGGAGGGGTACGTGATTCCTTTTCAGCTGAGGTAAAAACTCTCGGTTCAATTCGCCACAAGAACATTGTAAGGTTCTTGGGTTGCTGTTGGAACAGAAAGACAAGGTTGCTTATGTATGATTACATGCCAAATGGGAGTCTAGGAAGTCTGCTTCATGAACGAAGTGGAAACTGCTTGGAATGGGACATAAGGTTTAGGATAATACTAGGAGCAGCACAAGGTGTGGCTTATTTGCACCATGATTGTGCTCCTCCTATTGTTCATAGGGACATCAAGGCCAACAACATTCTCATAGGCCCTGAATTTGAACCATACATAGCTGATTTTGGGCTTGCAAAACTTGTTGAAGATGGAGATTTTGCTCGATCTTCTAGCACACTAGCTGGTTCCTATGGTTACATTGCTCCTGGTTAGTATAGTACTACTATCCCAATACTTCAATTAAATATTGTGTTACTTTTATCACTCACCATTAAGGAGAGTCTGAACTTTTATTTAACATTCTCTGTCTGAATATGCTATCTCTCATAACTGTATACTGACATCTATACATTATTACCTTTTTCTGTATCTGGGGATTGAAGAGTATGGGTACATGATGAAAATAACAGAGAAAAGTGATGTTTATAGCTATGGCATTGTTGTGCTAGAAGTCCTGACAGGGAAGCAACCAATTGATCCAACAATACCTGATGGACTCCACATTGTTGATTGGGTAAGACAGAAAAGAGGTGGAGTTGAAGTGGTGGATGAAAGCTTGAGAGCTCGGCCAGAATCCGAAATTGAGGAAATGTTGCAGACCTTAGGAGTGGCTTTGCTGTGTGTGAACTCAAGCCCAGATGACAGACCAACCATGAAAGATGTTGTAGCAATGATGAAGGAAATTAGGCAGGAGAGAGAGGAATGTGTTAAAGTTGACTTGCTTCTTCATGCATCTTCTGCAAATGATCAACAAGAAAGAAATATTTCAAATAGCCAACATAGCAATGAGGCTAGGCAACTAGGATTTTCTTAGCAAGAATTGTTTCTATCACGTTGTCATCAATTAATTCTGCATTGTAATTTTGGTTTCCTTGTGTATAATGAGAAAGGTCTAATAATTGTGACCAATGAAGTAATCTCTGTTTATTATATACCATTTTTTTCAGTATTGAAATACATATAAACAAACCAGTATAATCTACTTGTTACTTTATGAGGTAGTTCCTTTGTAAGAGAGTGTAGTTAGCCGAACAAAATATTATAAGTTATAGTTGAACAAATTCAAGTTGTTCAGTGTGAAGTGAAGTTTGTCTTTCACCTTTGTTTGTTGTCATCACTAGTTAATATGAATTGCCAGCATAAACCTTCTTGTTCACGTGTCTCTAAATGTACTTGTAGTGCTATTGGTAGTGTTACAAAGTACAAGTAATTAGATTCTTAAGAAGAGTCAATGATAACTATTAACTGTAAAGACTTTTTAAGATGGATTATATGTCATTATTGTATCAAGTCTTCTCCGAATTTGGATTCTCTGTTAGTTTTCTCTATTTTTGTTTTCAAAATATACTGATAGACACTTATTTGATGTTTTAAAATATATTAAAAAGAATTATAATATACTAAACATTAGTGTATTTTTAATGTTCAACAAAGACAAACACCAAAAAGTCCAGTATAGAATCTGGACTCATTTTTTTTTTCACGTATTTTCATTCACAATAAAAAAAATAGATTGGTGGAAGTACTAAAATGGAACAAGAGTGAAAACCTATATATACATATTGAATATATTTTTTGAATTATTTGAAAATGGATGTCATGCAAGCCTGACAGACAAAAAAGAAAGAAAATATTTTTCATATTTTTTATTTTTTGTATTTTTTAAAATATTTTTTTTATTATTTAAAAAATTGCATGAACACAAAAAAAATGAAGTTTAATTAAAAAGAGGATAAAATGGAATACAAGTGTGAGATGGATGAATAATGAGTTGGGGAAGTAAGGAAAAAAATAAGGATGGTAATGCAAGCTAGTTTCACCAATTTAGGTCCTTTCTCTAGTTGACTCTTGAAA